GAAGGACAGATCCTACAAAYGCGCACTTTGATGGGGTCATCGTTGTCACCATTCAGCGCCGAAGGGCGTGCCAATTTTGTAAATGGCAGCTGCGTATGGCTGCCATGTCCTGCTCTCCTCGAGTCATCGTGCCCTTAAACTAACCACCAAAAGATGTTTACAAATCAAAACTGAGGAGAATGGGCAAGAGGGGATGAAAGGGATGCTTCTAAAGACAGGAGGCTTTAAAAAGAACTATCATCCAGCGTTACAGGACCACCTTTGCTGGCGCTCTTGTTTCGGGAGTGCGTGTGAGTGGCTGGGCTGGTGAGAAACACCGTGGATTTACATAGTGGTCTGCGACTTCAAACGATGTGGCTGACATTTGAATGGGCTGCTGGTGGGAGCCTCTGGTGGGGGTTTTGTTGCCATGTGGGGCGAGCCAAGAAAAGTGGGCACACAGTTTGTCCTGTTTAATAGGCCCACAGGTTACCATAGGAGCCCAGCACAAACCGAGTTCAGAAGGGACAAAGGCGGTATGGGAAAGAATGGCAGGGACCCTTCGAAATGAAAGCATACGGCCATGWAGACTTAAACAAGTTCTGACTCACTAGGTGTCCAACTAAGAGAGGATGAAATAACTTTTATGAGTAACACACTAATAATAGGGGAGAAAAGATCAAGTCTGTGAGATCCTCGTGCCCTTTTGGAAGCAGACGCACATCATTTCCGCCTCTCACACTCTGTCCTTAACGAGCTATTTTGAATAAGTGGCAAATGTGAGGCAAGTGGTACATGCAGGTTACGACCGGCCTTTATAAGGTTCCACTTTACTGCATGGAACATGATGCATGCGTAATTGAAAGCATAGCATTCCTTGAAGGAACACACATCACCTTCCATCACAGAACTTTAACTGAAGACGGCCGTCACAGCCACATCTTGCAAGTTGTATTAATGCTGTGTGTTGAGGTCTCAGCTAATACCACAAAATCTTCACCTCTTTWTCTGAAATTTTGCACAAATTATAGCTATTTTGTGTTGGCAAAGTTAGATTAATGAAGCATRGCTCTTGAATGATTTAGTTGACTATAATATTTTACTGTTTATGTACAAGGCTAACAGAAACACATTACCTTCCAACTTTCAGGTAAACTTTGTTAAGAGGGACAGTTGTTATTATCTTAAGGGGATGGAAATGTTTGTGAAGCCATATTTTTATACTTGCTTGAAAGAAAGATGTACTTTAATCCAGGGTATAGGATTATGGAAATGGTCTGGAGGATGAGCTTAAAAATGCCAGATCTATGTATATATTTAAGAGACAGATAAAAGCAAGTTTTTGACGGTATATGAAAAATAAAATGTTTGATTTGTTGTTTGAGTTGATGTTTTATGTTGTTGTTTTTACTATTTATTTCTTTAGTATTGTTTTGTAAATTATGTTTCGTTTGAATATATTCTGGGGATAAAAGGGGCAGACATAATAAGACTTATTCTTCTTCTGCTACCTTTCATTTTATTTTGATTTGTGTATTTTCTTGTTTTTTATTGTATATAGTTATTTTTAATGAAATGAATACATTTTAATTGAATTGAATTGAATTGGATAATTACTTTAGATGTTGCACACTGAATAGAGCATGTTTTGAGAACAACTCTCAGCTCCTACCATGCCAAATTTTAGCTCATTGTCTGTAACTGACTGAGCTATAGCCATTTTTGTTTGCCAAGGTGCTTGCTCTACAACAGCCATTTTGAGTGATATGGACTATAAGTTAATCAGACGTGCATGTGATGATCACTTTATGAGTGTTTCATTTAAATCAGTCCACTACTTCATGAGATATTTTGCCAACAGTACAGACAAATTGCAGCCTCTCCCCCCTTTAAGTTACAACCAAAGTGCATTGCTGCCTTCCTAAACAACTATAATCTCAATTTTTAGCATCACAAAAGTTTGAGCAAATGCCATTTCATCAGCCTTTTACACTCTATTTAATTATTTTCTTCTCCAAACTTGCATCTTTACCTTTGTCACAACTRGTGATCAGGTATGCAATGCACCCTTCGCTTTGTTTTAGGTCAAAAATATAGTTAAACAGCACTTAACACAAGCTGYTAAAACCAATTTCTCTGCTCTTATTGTACTTGGCAAAAAAGAAAGCTGACTCTCCCTAAGTTTTTAGTTAATGTCACGCTGATGCAGGCCAATGATTAAAAATGGTCTAAAATGGTCTTGAACAGCTGTAAATAAACTTCAGAGCACATCCAAGCATAACAGTGTCAGCCTCAGGAGGAGTAAATGTTAGCACAGCACACAGAGATCCAAAGAGAGAAGCCCTTTGCTCCTGACATGAAACACCTGTCTGAGTGAGTGAATACTGGGAAATGAATGAAGCCTCTGGGACACAGGCAGCGCATGTGTGTCTGTCGACAAAATTTGTGCAAATGGGTCAAAAACGAGTCAAAACCAAACCTAAATCGCAGAACTTTCCACTGCAGTGCTGCGAAACACACACGATCCGCTTTCTGCCCACATAAATCCAACCCCGCTCTCCCCTCCCACCGCTTTCCCTGCCTGCCTCGGTGGCGGTTGCCCCGTCTGTCAGTCTATTTCCAGGCTCAGGGCCCGGCACCGAGGCAGGCGGGCAGGCAGTCAGTCAGGCGGTGTGGTGGAGGGCAGAGGGGTTGATGCGTGTGTCAGAGAGGCGCTCTCCCACATTTCCCCTGGCGGCTGGCAGCAAGCCGGGTCTGCGGAGGGGGGTTCGCCGCTTTCTCACGACCTCTCAGGTTCCTGCGCTCATCTGGGAGCTATTCATTTCCTGCCAGAACACAGCCTTCCCCTGCAACTGCAGGGGTGGGGGGTGG